TCTGGCTGTGCATTATGCATCAAATACAGAATCATGGGCGGGGGAGTATTTTGGATTATTATACAGATATTTTACTTGGCAAACAGGTTTTTTGCTCCTGCAAAAAAATAAATAAAGCAAAATGCTGGAAGATGGTAAGAAGGTTAATGTCAGCAAGACCACCGCACATCTTCACTTTTTGTGCATAGCCAGACAGGCAAAAAGACCACAGGAGTCTGAGTGTAAAGAAGTCGGTTATTCCTCCTTGCACACAATTTAGGTTATCCAGGCAGACTCCCTGGTCAGAGTCAAAGTACAACACTGCAGACCTGTCTAACTTCCCTGTGACTCATATTTCACCCGCCCCCTTCAGTTCCTCCGAGTTTAGATGTGGGGGCCTTAAACAAACAATGCAGGACTTTCTCCCAAGGCTGCTCCTCAGGTTGAGGAGGGATATCAAGAGGTTAGACTTCAGAGTAGGAGGGCGATGCTTGCTGTGCATTTAATCTGCTTTGCCGAAGATTGATTGGTTTTTTATCGGTGTTCTGGATGCCTTGCCTAGAATTTAAGAGGCATATTTCAAATGCACGTAAGTGTGCCACAGCAACTGAAAGCAGGTATTTACCAGCGAATGCATCCAGTGAATGGTCTGGGTAGGCTGATGCCCAGTGTGCAAAGGGTTAGACATGCCGGGACTGACTGCAAGAGATGCCTTGTAACAGGAGGCATTTCAGCTTTGACACCTGACTGATTTTCCGCTTCCCGATTCCAACATGAAATACCACCCTGCCAACAAGGAAAGCGTTAGCTTTTGGCTCCAGCAGGGTTAAAGGCTTCTCAAGTTAAAGCTACTCACAGTCCAATACTGCTTCACAAAAGCTGTTTCCTTGCTCAGGCAGGTTTGGAGACAAAAGGACAGGCTGTGCTGACATCTGGTGGCTTTATCCACAGAGAGACACCTTTGCTGTATTCCTCCCTCCCCTACACAAACACATGGCAGAGTACTTGGTGGTTAAGCTCGCAAGTGGACAGGGTTATAATCACCGGAGATGCTCTGTAGAAATCTGGTTTCAAAACAATCCTTTAATTTGGTGGCAAGCAGCCTTTTCTGGCTGCAGGTCAGAATGACCTGCATCAGGTCAGGAGCACTACAGGAGGTGGGCACTAGTCCTGTGGGTGGGCGCTACGACCCACCCACACTGGCTGGCACTTCCCCACAGCAGCAAGGGGAAAGCTCCCACAACTGAAGCACCCCACCACCAAATGCCTCCAAAGCCCTGCGTCTGTGAGCCACATCCAGGCCATGGAGCCAGTGACTCTGCGGGCCATAGGTTTTATAGATTCATAGATTCATAGATTAAGGGTCGGAAGGGACCTAGTAGATCTTCTAGCCCGACCCCCCGCCAGGGCGGGAGAACAACAAAAACCCCAAAAAGAGAAATGGGACTCAAACGAGTCCAGCTAGGTGGGCATCCAGCCTCTTCTGGTTGCTGACCCCTGCTTTAATTCTCTTCTCCCTCAGGTCACAACTGGATAGGTTGGATGGCTTATGGCTTTTAGAAAGACATAGATGCCTTTAAAAGGAAGCAACACCTGGTTGTCCAAATTAAGTATGGAAAAAGGGAATACAGAGTGGCAAGAGGGGGGAAAGAAGCACACGGGAGGAGTGAAGCCTATTCACTCAGTATAAATCTTTCAAGGGTAGGCTATAACATACTGATCATTTGAGAACAAATCCATGTTCAGCAGCACCCCAAAGAGGAGATAACAGATTTGGTCCCAAATAGTGAAAAGCAGAACCCAACTAAAACACTGCAGGACATACAACTATGTCAGACACCCAACTTTTGCAGCGAGTGATTCAAGTATTTACACCACTGACCTCAGTGGAAGCCCAGGACCCTCTTACCAGTACAACAAAGCACAGCCAAGTATAACGTGTCCTTCATTCTCGTTCCTAATCCCTGACCTTTAAGATCATGGGCCATGGTTTCCCTGCTACTCTGCAAGGAGGACAGGAATCCACAGCTGCTTCTGAGCAGTGATGAATGTTGTGCAGAAGGTGACATGCATGTCTTTTTTTCCCCCAAAAAAAATTAACCGGAGGGTTGTGAGCTGTGTTCCAAAGAAAGAGCTTTCAGCCCATACCAGGGCTTGCTCAATACTAGCAGATCATTTCTAAACCAAAGTGATTTCAGCCACTCCTGTAATTAGCCCCTGACATGGTACAAGACTCCTTCCCAAGGAGTCTCAACCAAAAACAACTGGGAGAATTTATCTTACTTATTACACAGATCCACAGTAGCAATATCTTTAGCCTGTAAGAATCACTAACTTCAGATTAAAAATAAAACATACTCTGAATACCAGAAGTGAAATGTGTCAGGGCCAGATGCCTGCAGAGCCATGGTCTGAAAATGCATTTTAAAGGGACTACTGAAGGAAACAAATGTGTGAAAACTAGGGCACTTTTTTTATATCCAGCTGACCCAACAGCAACAGAGAATGGATTCCATTAGTTTCTATTGCACCTCACCACTTGCTCGCACTAGTGATTCCTCCCTAAACTAGCCCTTTCCTGGTACAGCTGCCTTCCTACCCATGCCAGCATCTAACACCACTTCCATTCCCTCTAGGGCCATTTTTGTCTCCATACCATATCTCCAAACTCTCGTCTCCCTACCTACAGCCATCTCTCTGATCCATAGAGCAGAAAGTTTAATTCATCTCACCATCCAGGCTGACTTAAGGCAAAAGCCACCCAAAATAAAGACTTACTGCTCTTTATTTTATATATTACTTCAGAGCTAGGGACAGAGGACAGGAAATAACTCTCAAAAGCAAGTCCTCATAAGTTATTCTGGGTATGTCTACACGTGCATTAGGTACTGCACATTAAGTTCAGTACCTGTAATAACAGGTACCAATTGAATGTGCAGTAACTGGCACTATTGCACACTAGCGCTGATGCACACCTTTTTAGTAATGCTAATGTGCAGTAGACTCATTTTATGGAGCATTAGCACAGCTTTTGCTGTGACACACTAATGCACAGTAGAATTCATCTACTGCGCATTTAGCATCTGGTGTAGACACACCCTTTGTCTTTATTATAAGCTGCCCTGAGGTTTTTTTTGGAAAGGAAAGCATGTAAGTCAGGGGTGAGCAAAATGTGGCCCAGGGGCCAGATGCAGCCTGCCAGACCATTCTATCCAGCCCATGGGGCCCCTAAACAATTTAGAAAATTAATATTAATCTGCCCTGGGCTGCCTGTCATGCAGCCCTCAATGGCTTGCCGACACTCAGTAAGCAGCCCTCTGCCCAAAATAATTGCCACCCCTGATATAACTAAATATTCCCCCAATAACAAAGCACAAGCAAAATTCATAGGGGTTACCTCTCATTGCCTTAGAGAAGCCACCTTTGTGATTAGTGCTGTTACCATGTCCATCCAGCTCATGGCTTCTGATAAAACTCACAAGCTAATATGATGATCTCCATATCAAAAGAGGCCCCATTTCCTAAGAAGCTGGACAGAGACCTCTAATTCACATTGGTTACCAAGAGAAATAGATGCCAACAACTTTTATTTGGCACTCAACTGATCCAGAATCTAACAAGCGGCCAGTGATGAAAGGCTCCCTTGTCCATCGCCCAGGCTCCCTTATCCTGTTCCAGTATTCTGCTTTTGAACACTGTAAGTGTCGGTGATTTCTGTAATTTTTTTTGGAAAGACTAATGTGGTTTAAAAGAGCTGATAAAAAACACCAGTAGAGCAGTACTTCAGAAAGAGTCCGGCATACAAAGCATTTAGTGAGAGCATAATAAAAGGCTCAATTGTGCTACTGTACAGCAGAGGCAACGCAGTGTCACTGCCTTACAGCAGTATTAACTCTTCCCTTTGAGGAAGTTTAGCTAATCATTCTGGGATGATGCAAGAATCCAACCATATAACATCAACCAGAACCCTAAACTGCTGAAAGTGCTGCAGCACTGAATGCCTTGGTGTATGTGAAATGTAGCATTAGCTGTCAGCACTGTCACACAGCTCATAGACCAGGAATAATGGCAGGTCATGAACCCTGACAGCTCCCATTTAAGTGGGAGCACCTTGGGACAACAGGATTGCTAAAGTGCAGGAAAGCTAGTCCCAGTTTATCTGGAAAGGTTACAGGAACTCCCCAAACTGGAGAACAAAATAGTCAGGTGTTAATGCTGGAACTTAAAAGCACAAGAGGATGAGATGGGTAGGGGGACTCAAACAGGCTCCTAAACACAAGATTCCTGATCATGAAAGAAAAAGCAAGAAATGAGTGTGGTTTCATTTCAGGGCGGTCCCGAGACCCACTTGGGAAGAAATAAACTGGCTGCACACAAGAAAGACTGTAATTTGGAGAAACAGCCATAAGCTGCAGCAGAGATATCCAGAGGGCTCTGCCCTAAGCCTGAGAAGCGGTGAGCAAACTGAGGCAGGGATATGCACACAGGGTTTTATTATTTTTTTCCCTGATTCTCCACCTTGCTTATGCTGTATTTAGACATCTCTGCAAAGCCACAGTGTCTGTCTGCTTTTGCTATCTGTTGTCCTTAAAAAAAAAAAAAAAAATCCCAAAGCGCTCACAGGATTGAAGCCCTAAGAAAAAGGTGTGCTTTAAGCCACTGGGACGTCTGGAGGAGCAGTGCTGGTCCTGGGGCCCTAAAGCCGTGCTATGAAATCCCATTACCATGGGAAAAGATAACAGACAGAGCCTGTGCCCAGGAAGCATGATGAGGGAAAGACCCAGGGCTGTAGTCTATCACACCAAGACCAAAGTAGGCATCCAGGGTGGTAGGACCCAAACAGCAGCTCATGGGTACTTGCTAGGGAGAGCTCTCCCAGTGATGTATGACAAGACTATTACTGGTCTTGACTTGGTGGGCACAGCAGGAGAGTACGGCCGTACCAGGAACTACCTGGAAGTATTCATCTCCAGAAGACAGGGAAAGAATTACTCATGATTATGGAGATATCGCAGGAAATGCAGTGATTTAGGCTTTATTTCAGTACTGAAGCCACCCGTTTGCAATCCATTTGGAGGAATGCGCAAAGTCTGCTTCTGCATACTAATGTCTTACAAGAAGCCGGGTTGCTACTTTGTAGACCGCGACATCTCCATGAAATAACACTAAAAAACCAGGCAGGCTACTCCTCAGACACAAAAGCCTCCAAACAGCCATTTGCCTGTTTCATCACACTAAAAGGGGTTGGGATACAGAATATAAAGGGAAGCATTCACCAGTGAAGAATACAAAACTCTAATCAGTCTGCACCACTCAAACAAAGCCGACTGAACATAAAATGAGTAGAATAAAGCCATTACTTGTAAGGTAGAGATTCTCTAGCTAAGCCCTTTTAAGTATCCAGTTATTTGGTCATAAAAAGTTTCCATTTTCATAAGAAAGGATAACACTCTGATGGGATTTACATCTGCCTTGTACAATTTCCATACATATCTAACATCCCTTATGCAAAATCCATTGTTGTAGGTTCGCACAAAGACTGTGCATGTCACTGGTCAGAGATCATTTACACTCCCGACATTCTGAAATGTTAAAAGAGGAAAAAGGAACCATAAGAAAAGGAAAGCGCATTTGGGTCAATATATTTTTTCCCCTCTCAATTGCAGCATCCTGAAAGAAATTAATGTCTATAATAAGGGAATTGCAACACCTGTCGAGCAATCCTCTGAGATTTATTGATCATTAAAAAAAAAAAAACACAAACAAACAAACAAACAAAAAACAATTGCAGTAAAATAAAGAGTTTACAACAGGTACAAGAAAATAAAATAAAAAAAACAGGTTCCTTGGGATCTTCACCAAGCCAAAGCAGGATTAGCTTTGTAGTTTCTGTAATCTTCCTCACAGAAGAATGCTAATTCGGTTTCATTTGCTGAAAAGAATAAAAAAAATATATATATATTAAATTTGCCAAATAAATTAACCATCAAAAGCCCTACTGTAATTAGGGCTTGAAAGGGCATTTGCTGCCTTTTTGGTTTAAAGCAATTGCTCCCCTGGTATTTTTTCCATAAGACTCCAGTGTCAAGGATGTGACTTAGCTTGGTTAAAAATAAAGATAACTTTTGTAGGTAGCTGTAAATATCTGCATGACTTATTTAGCCAAAAACCATTTGCATACATTTAGCAAACTAAGAGACTGCATTTTTACTCCTTAAAATGCTAGAAAATGCTTGCCCAGTATTCAGTTAGGAAAGAAAAAAACTATTTCTTTTTTTCTGAAATTAGCCTGTAGGTATAATAATTTAATACTTAGAGGATCAGTAGAATATTTTACAGATCACTTTACATTCTCCCTCATGACCCATCAAAATATGTGTCTGAAGAAGTTAATTTTTTGCCCTGCTGATGATTAATTCATGAGGCTTCAACAATATGCAAAGTGAAAGACACAAATTGGCTTCTCCAGCAATACCTTCAAATACCTCTAATTATTCACAGGGGATACGGCAGAGCTAAAGGACCCACAAAGGTTCAGAGCAGTCACAATTCTTTCAACCCAGTAGGTCAAGGACTTCCTCTTCTAAAACAATAAGTCAGCAACATTACTAATTCAGAGCGGAGACAAATCTGATGGAAAGCTTTCACAATTATTAAACATGGAATTCTTTAAGGTGCTGAGCCAATAAGTTCCACATTCATTTTTTAAATTAAACCTGAAGTTAATGAAGTCTGCCTGTCATGAAAAAGAGCAGGAGGGGTTTTAGAAGCTTGACTGGGAAACAGACAAGGCTTTTTGCAATGAATACTGAACACTTTATTATCATACGCCCCACTCTCCAAACAGGCACGCATTAACTTTGCTTCCTAGCAAATAGCTGTAATAATAATTGCCACCACAGAGGATTTCCTCAGAATACTTGGCTTAATGTCCTTATTTTTTTATTTTTTTTTTTACATCTTTCCAGCCCAACCCTGCCAAGGGCTAGAAGCCACCTCATTAAGATCTAGGAGAGTGCTCAGCAGAATCAGACCCTTGGCTTTTTAAAGGGAAATGTCACTGGGATTTTTTGCAGCAAATGTTGCCGTAATTGAATATGGGAGGCTTACGACTTGCCCAATTACAATGGGAACAGGTTCAGCTCCAGGACTAAAGCCACAAGATGCTGGCTTTCACTTGCGTGGTTTACAACTTCGTTGCATTTCTACTATAGACCAGAAATTCAAATCTACCTTTAATGGCTAAAAGCAGGAACTACAAAGATCTTAACAAAATACTTAGCTACTCTAAGTCACCCACTTGCAGAGGGAGAGGGCTTTTCACACAGAGGTTAACCGTAATACAGCAAGATTCAAGAACAGTTCTTCTAAAACTTCAGGCTTGACACGTACCAGGTTCTGTCTTCCATCATACAAAGCAAGAACTTCATTTTTCACGCACAACAGACAGGTACTGACAAATGGTCAGCATTTGTGGCTGGTATACAATTAGCCTGAATATTTACAGAAACACTGTTTAAATCCTTTTCTCCCATGGTTAATCCATTCCTTCCTCCCCTTTGTAGAAATATTCAAACTTGTTGGTGGATCCCAATTTTTTTTAAAAAACAACTTACTCATGTTTCTATAACACAGAATTATTGTAATTGCTAGTTCTATGAGCCCAGGGTCAAAGGCAGGTATGTACAAATAAGTCAGCAATGTCTTTTGCAAGAGGAAAGTCTTGGGCACAGTCAGCTCTTAAAGAGATATCTGCCCCTGTCCCCTTTGCCCCTTACTTAGACCATTAGCCTACATAGTCCCTTAGGTCTTAGGCAGGATAAGACTCATCGCTAAATAAGCCATATAATAAATTAAAATTCACAAGACTTTGAAGTCTTCAAAATGCCAAAACCCGCCTTCCCAAAGGACAGCTTTTCTTTTGAGTTAAAAAGACTAATTCAGGAGGGAAGGCTAAGAATGACTATTATTAATATTACAGTAATGCCCAGAGGCATTTGAGAGGGCCCGATTCTGCTCAGCACAGTGAAAACTTATCGTAAGAGATACTTCTTCCCCCGGAGATAACTACATACATTGGAGAAGTGTCAACACCAAGAGAGAAAGGGGGATCATTGAAGGTGGCTTAATGAGAGGCATCCAGAAGTCACAGAAACAAATTAAGAGAGGGGTTTTCTAAGATACCATTTAATTTTTTTTCCAGTAGTAAAAATATATGTTAGTTATCACAGGGAGTGGAAGAAACTCCACTGCTGAAAGCATTTTAGGGTAAGCTGGACAAAAAGCTAAAGAATACTTTCCAAAGAAATCCTTCACTGGTCAAGGGACAGGATAAATGGCCTAATGCTGAATGGGTTTTTCACAGTTTCAGGCTGGAAGGGACCTCGTGAGATCATTGGGTCCAGCCCCCCTGCTCTGGGCAGGAAAGACGGCTGGGGTCAAATCATCCCAGCAAGGTGTGCGTCCAGCAGGTTCCCACAGTTGTAACAACTTGTGTCGTTTCACCCACAGAGTAAAACTGTGTTGTCTTAGATTTAGGTACGTCTCGTTCTAAACCTGTAAGCGCCCCAAGTCCGATATACCAACTGGGCCTCTTCACTACTCTGCTGCCACATAATGGCTCAGCTCCATTTGTGTGGAACCAAAGCAACACCCAGTGACCATCGGGTCTGTCACAGGCAGGCATTTCCTTATATTATCATCACAGGACGTGCCCCATGTGCATTCTCGTGTCAAAGTACAAGGGATCAGGTCAGTTTTCAACTCCATGCCATGTTTGGCACATTTTCTAAATGATACTATTTGTCCTACCCTTAGTCATTTCCCTGATTATCAGGCACACTGTGTTGCACATTAAACAAATCTAATCTCATTTCATTATTCCACACTAGTTCCACTACTTAAATTTCTAACCAAAACATCAGTTTAAATGTTACTGATAAGACTAAGCAGACATGGTACTAATAACCTATCTGTCAATCATTTAAAATTACTCTCAGCAGAATTCTGAGCATACTTTCTAAAAATCACAATTTGCATTCTGAACATTGGGAGTGCAGCTACCTGCTGCCCTCAGCCCAATGATTTGAATGTACATTATCCCCCCCGTCTTCCCTGAATAATTATCAGGTAGTGTAAAGAGCATGAGGAATAGCATTTACTTTTCAGCAGGCTATCCAAACATAATCACTCAGTTATCAGTATGATGACAAGCACAATGAGCAGCGCCTTCAGTCAATACAAGCGTGCTAGAATAACCTCTAGTCAGTGTGGTGCTTTGGTCTGGCAGCTCCTGCACCCAAGCTGGTTCCAAACATACAGGTACCTGCCATTCCTTTGGATTAAACCAGTAAGGCTAAAAAGGGGACACTGGTGCGTGGGCAGCTCAGTGTCTCTATATACGCTGCCCAGGTTTTTGTGCCTTGGAAAGTCACTCCAGCTTCGCTTTATTTTCAAGTAAGGATTATGTTCAGTGAGCTGATGTCTCACTCGGCATAATTCTATTGTCTCGCAAGACAGACAGATGCCTGCTACTACCTACCTACTCCAGCTGCTTTCAAAGTGCTGTCATCGCTCAAAATGAGTTTGTCATCATCTTCCAAACTCACTACAAGTTCATTGGTCTAGAAATAAGTAAATGTGGATATAAAGATAAATGTGAGTTTGATCAGCCTTGTCATGGTGTTGTCAAACAGCACAGAAAGCTTCCTGCATCGACGCACACAAAACAGCGAAAGAGAGAGGCTACATACCTTAGATCTGTGTGCTTGGTGAATAATCTTCATTGTATCTGAAAGAAAACAGAAGGCTCTCCATGATGTGGTTCGCCTGGCAAGCTAGGCCATAAAAACTGCACTGCAGGTTGTACCTTTGTTATCTTTTAAGAACTTCATTAAAATCACGGAACAATAGAGCTGAAAGCAACCTCAATATTCTCATTTCAAAAGAAAGGGAAAAAGCAAGGACCACTCCTCCTACCGTGAGCCCTGCGATTACAACCTTGCATTGGGGCGCGCCACAAGTTCTCAGGGCCACTTGCAAGGCGCACTTTGCAGTGGAGGGCCACACTCTTGGGATCTGGCACTTATGGGGTGCAAGCCCTCAGCACCTTTGCAAGCAGGAAGCTGAACCACAGGCACATTCATAGTAACCAAACACTGCACGATGAGGACACAGCATTCTCCATTTTGCTTTTCATATTACAAAATGGAGTGGTTTAACACAGAATTATGCTGGGCCACTGATATCCCACTGTCTTCATTCCATGACCCCAGGAATATCTACCCAACTTTTCTCTGGTAAGATGCACAAAAGCTAGTAGAAATGTAGTGAGTGGGGCTGCACGAGGAAAGAAATACAACTCACTCTCCTGTAGCTTTGTCAGGTCTACTGTGCTAGCAACCGTGGGGAAAGAATAAGAAAGAGTTTTGTCACCAAAAGTAGGCATAGAGGAGCAAACGCCCACACAGGGAGCAGGCCTGAGAAAGGAGCTGCAAAGCCAGGATTCCAAAGAATCTATGTTTTGAAGAAAATCAAATTTAGGACACAGGTCCTTCTTCAGAAAAAGAACAAAAACCCAATGCTATTTGCCAGCTCATTTTCTATTCACTTCATGTACATTGTTTTAGCAGAAAATTATATTTTTAAAAAGTCTACAAAGAAAAGGATTCAAGAGAGCTAAAAATATGGGCTGCTGTGATTGAAGAGTCTGTTCTCCAGTACATAAAAGACTGGATTCTGATTTCAAGATTTGCCACCATGCTTTTAACACATGCACACTCCAGCCAGTTTCATGCATTCTATTTATGGTATTAAGGAAAATTGAAGCACCTGTTCTCCCACCATAAAGGTCACTAAAGGGGCAGTTTTAACATGCGAGCCCAGTTGCCATACTACCGAATTCTTTCTTTCAAAAGCAAGATGTGCACCAGGCAGCACTTACAGGAATCTCATAATATTACACAGAGCTACTGCAAACAATCACACTGAAAATGTACCAGGCCTTCATCTCTGGGATGTAAACCCAACAATTACTAGGGATCCTCACTGACCTCAGCCAGCTCTGTATGCCAAGGAGTGCAATCCAACATCTGCTTACTGGTTTTCAAGTCCTAGCGCAATTTCACCATCTGACCTTTTTTTTTTCCCCCACCCATTAAGTCTCCAATCTACTTGCTTAATTGTACTCATTCATGGCTTCACCACCAGCAGCAATCATCACGGCATTTCACCATCTGCCCTAATGAAGAGCTTCTCCTCAGCTCCCCATGGCAGATAAAATCTGGGTCTCTCTTCTATATCCTTGTAAAAGCCTTATTTCCTCTGGCTAGCTACCCATGTTACCCTTGCCCAGGGATGGATGGGAGAGGGGAAGGGAGGAGGATGTGCAGCAGTGCAGGTACACCCCCCCTTCTGCTACTGCAGTCATCAGCTGACCTGGACACAGGGGGAGCCCCAGAGCTCCAGCTGCCCCACTCCAGCTGTGGGATGTGGCTGTGGGGTGCCAGGCTCAGCAGGGGACAGCAGTGGTAATGGGTTTCCTTTTTCTGAATCTGCTCCCTGGTATCCCCACCCCTATGGCCACACTGACCGGAAGCAGGAGGAACCTTCCCCACTGCTGCTGGCTGACACAGGCGCATGGGGTGCCCCAGGGCCATTCCTGACCTGCTCCAGCCACAGAGGTAGCAACAGCAGTACACGCAGGTTCCTCCTCCCAGCGAGCAGGGACACCTGGGGGAGTGGGGGAACTAGAGGGCCAGGAACAGGAGCCAGGAGGAGGAACCTGCACACTAGCATCACTCAATGCACAGCTGCTCCCTGCAGCCGGAGCAGGGTACAAGGTGAGGCTCCCCACAAGCCCCAGGTAAGCTGGGGACAGTGATGGCAGCAGGTTGGTTCCCCCCACCCTTCAGACACCCACTCTCTGCCCAGTTCCCCTGTCAGCCCAGGGGCTACAGCCACATCTGGCCTCCATCTCCCAGGGTCTAGGGGTTGGTGCACCACACCTCCTTTGGGAAATTCTAGATCTGCCCATGCCCTGCCTAGTCTCGTGTGATTACATTCATAAGTCTTACTTTGTGTCTTCTATCAACAGACCTCTCCAAGAGCAGAAATGAAAACACTGTCATAAAAGACAGAGTAAGAATCAACTCAAATGAAGCCTCTAACTGCTATTTGCATTGGGTAGAGCCTAGAAGACGCCATGAGGTTGGGTCTCTGCCATGTTTGATACAATACAAACGTGTAGCAAATGACAGTCTCTGCCCTGAACAGCTTACAGTCAACAGGACCACACATAAGATATGCACAAGACAAACAGGAAGAAGGAGGGGGGACCCATTGGTGCAAACTGGCTGTGCACGATTTACAGTAAACCAATTGGAAACAACACTCACTACTCGCAACCTGCTTGGCCATTATCAGGCAGCTGTTTTCTGCAGACATCATGGCAGAGATAACTTAGGTTGCCACTTTGTGGAGCTTCTCCCATACTGCCCCATATATGTGGGAGAAGTGCAGAAGTGCTTGTGAAAGAAGCAAGTGGGCTACCAACTTGGCATAATTTGTGGAGCACAATCAAAATCAATGATAAAATGGTAAGATGGACTCAGAGGCAGGAACTACAGGGTTCTGAAAGTGGAGGAAAGCATGTACAGTATGGGGAAACCAAGGGAGAGTGTCAACAGAAGGACATGGAAGAAGACAGGTTAATCGTAGATAACAGTCAAGATGATGAGTTCGATGGCCATATTTTTAATGAAGATCAGGAAATGAGGCTACAACAGTAACGTCTAGAAAAGAGACAGCTGAAGTAATCAAGCTAGCAGAGACCCAGGACCTGGATGAGAGTCCTGGCCATGTGAGTTGAGGCAGAAAAAGGAATCACTTGTGATGGTGTTGTATTGAAGTAGCTAAAATTGCTTATATTGCTATTTTTATAATGAATTATTTATCCATTAAGATAAATTTCATAGAATTTTATAGACATTTGGGCTGCAAGGGACCCCAGAGGATCATCGAGTCCAGCCCCCTGCCCCAGCGGCAGGAAGTCAGCAGGGATCATAGGATCCCAGCAAGATAAGCATCCAAATGTGTCTTAAAATTAATCTTGTTATGATTTACTTTCCATAATATTTTAATCAGTCATTATTTTTCTGGAATTAAGCATCTATTTTAAATTTTCTACTGCTTAGCATAAATATATTTGACCTATTGGTCTCATGATTTTAAAACTTAAATTTGGTATAAGAAAAATGCTTACGTAAGGTCTGTGGTATGCCTGGCATGTTTGAAAAGAGGTAATGAAAGAATGAATGATGTATGTATGTGACAACGTGAAGGAAGACAGTCCTCCAGCAGGTGAAAATAGCCTTCTGTGGTTTAACAGGTAAAAGTTGTGGCGATGTCAAGTCAGCAGTTAAGACCGACTACAAGCAATGACCCTCCCTGAAGATTGCAGACAACAAGGCCACGTCCTACCAATCCCAGCCTGCCAACAGGACAAGGAGGATGACCTTTGTGTCTGACTCCACAGAATCCATAGGCTTGTATGGACAGCTATCACTATAAAGAATGAACACAAAAAAAAGGCTTTGGGTCTATCCATCTGCAAGAATGGGTTTTGGGCACGTCCAACAAGACCTAACTCCATTCCTTGTGATCAGTCTGGCCGGCCACCAGACTGATCTGAGCATCTTTAGAATTTGGTAACCTTTGCAGGACTGTCTAACTATCTCTGTGTGTGTGCTTGTTTCTTTTCTATGAATGAATGAATGAGTATGTATGGGAATGAGTGAAGCAGATAACCTTACTGTTCTTTTTTTTTCTTCATGTTGTATGTTTTATGTTCTGATAAAACAGCGGCATTGTGCCTTATCACCTGATAAGATTCCTGCTTGTTTTTAATTCACACCTTATGCCCTGTGCAGACAACAATGGTATGCAGAGAGAAGCAGCAAGACCTGTACATTTCCTTCTTGTAGATAGGCTAAGGGCAAAACCATAGGGGATGCGTAGATGATGGACCTGAACAATGGCAAGAACCTGTAAAGAAGCAGAGGTACCAGGGCAGACCTAAGAAGAAAGGGTCTCAGTCAGGATCAGGATCTCAACTGTAATTCTTTACAAGAAAACTCAACATAGCTGGCACTTCTGTACTTAAAAGAGGCCACAGCTGAGCTACTAACACAGGATTCCAACTGCTGCACCTCTCTGCACCCACGTGTAGTGCCACTGCCATGACTGTTCAGATCCACAAGTAGCAGCTGTCCAAAAGCAAATCTAACCTGATGCTCTGATGGCGAGAACCATGAGCAAATGTGAGGCAAGGCTAACACCAGGGACATGCCACCTACAGAGCATAAGCAACAGAATTATAGGTCATATCTCCTTTGTCTACCAATAAAGGAGGAAACAGAGGTAAAGGATGGCACCTCACAGATGCCACTGCATCACTAGAATTTTAAATCCTTAAATACAATGTCAAAATTAAGGTTTTGGGGGGGGGGGAGAGGGGGAGAGAAAGAGAGAGATTGTGTGTGTACGTGTGTGTCTGTCTAGATATAGATATATAACAGAAGATACCAGCACAAACACAGCAGTCTACACTCTAATTCCCAAATTGTCTCTCTCATACTTCCATTCTGTACCTTCCCCCTCCTCGCTCTGTGTAAGTGGAGAATCAGCTCCCTAGGCCTTCTCAGTTTCTTCAACAGGTTTCTTCATCGGTACCAAGAACTAAATTTGTGCCTCACTTGAGGAGATGCTGACCAGTTCTTGATGACTCACTGTGATGAGCGTGGCCTGTCAACTCCAACCTGGACACAGGGAGGTGGGAGGTCATGGTAGAAAGGCCTCCAGGAGGAACCACTTGGAACAGCCAGGCTGTAAGAGGTCTGTGCCAGGGGATATGTATTACTGTCTTCAGACTTACCATCAAAGCCAGATCCCTGAAAGAGGGTAAGTATGGACTAGCAGAAAACAGATTCTATTCAGACTAAGACACACTATACCTGCTTACACCAAGCTTTATAGAAAGAAAACCTGAAGCTATGAAGTTTTACATTAGAGCATCGATTCAGAGTTAAATATTACCTCAACCTATTTCATTCTGTCAATTTGTATTGAAGAGCTTTCCTATTCACCTTTAGCCATGTTCTCCTCCTCCTCCTATTTAATATTTATTATGTAAATTCTCTAAGTACATAAATCTAAGCATTTTACATTCAATGCCTTCAGCTCCTGCTTAGCCATCCCTCACGACCTCACAATTAGTAGCTAGATATTGAAATGCATAAGCACGCAGAGGAATGTGGTTTCAAAGCATGGCAGGTCACAAGCAGCTCTGTAGAATGGGAACAGAGTTAAAAGGCACTTATAAAAGTAATAAAAAATTAATACTCAAAATATGCCTTTGTCAATTAGCAGCAGAATGTGTAATGCAATGCCTAATTCTGAAGTGAATACAGAAATTCATAATAATGACTACACTATGCACAGACATACAATGTAAAGGTAACGGCTGATTGGACACAGCTGCAGTAGGACACACAGGCACATATCTATGCATATTCCAGAAAGCTAGTCCTAAATTGCTATATGTTTAGCTGGCAATAACTGTAAATGCATTAAACTGCAAATTCAACATGCATTTTCTAAAGAATAAAACAATCCAAAAACATACCATATTTGTAATTTCTGAAAGGAGGTGGAAGTCCTGCTCTTGAAGACACATCTATTAAAAGTAAAAAGACTAAGTGAAGAAAAAAACTCAGTGGCTACTTCAGGAAGGATGCATGCTGAACTTGTTCTTTTACAAAAGATTATCAAAACAGCAGTCTTGCTTTAGCATCAAAAGCTGATCTGTATCATTGGGCCCAAATCCTGAAAACCCCCAGTGTAGTTGGTAAGGGGAGTTGCACTAATTTCAACAAGACCAACCCCACAAATAACTGTAGGTGCAAGCATGAAGGGTCTTTTCTTCCAAAGCTCTGTCAGGAGCCTCCTGTATCCTCTAGCATACAAATGCATGTGCATTTGCATCCAAACTGACATCCTACATGAATTGTTCATGTCAAAACAGACGCATCAAGCAACTAACAAAAGGAAGCCCTGTTTATGGGCTCTGGTCTGTGTGGTGCAGAGCAACTCCACCTTTCAACTCTTACAAGTTTAAAAGGAAGGCTGGGGTGATAAGAAATTCCTGGAGTTTCAGCACCTTGTAGGATGAGGCCTTGTGTAGGTGAGTTTTTTAAAATTCATTTCAAAATCATCATTCAAAGCACACTACAATACAGATTAAAACAGTTGTGCTCAACCCTTGCCCTGCAGGCTTGATCTGACCTGCATGGCTCCCCATGAGTGTGTGATCAGCACATGGGACCAGATAGGGCCAGTGTGGGACCCCTGGAGCCCAAACTCTGCAGGAAGAGACAGTGCAGGGCCCTGGGAACAATTTTGGCACACAGGATCTGATCCAGCCCATGGGCCCCATGTCCCTCATCTGGCCACAGAACTAAAAGTTTGAACACCACTGGATTAAAGCAGGAATGGCCAACCTGTGGCAAACATGCCATAAGTGACATGGGAAGCCTGTGTGTAGGGCAGAAAGAGGAAACCCACTGTCACTGCTGTCCTCTGCTGAGCCTGGCACCCCCACGTAGCCACAGCCCATGGTCAGAGTGGGGCAGGTGCAGATTAGTGAGGGGACAAGCACCACAGTGGCAGATAGGGCAGGAAGCAGAGCAGCAGATCAGGCAGGGAAAGGGGATCAGAGTGGTACTCAGGGAGGCTGTAGAACCCAAAAGATTGTTCCCCACTCGATTAAAACATACCTTTTCATAGATTTCATAGGTTTCATAGACATTAGGGCTGGAAGGGACCTCGGAAGATCATCGAGTCCAGCCCCCCGCCCTAAGGGCAGGAAGTCAGCTGGGGTCATAGGATTCCAGCAAGATAAGCATCCAATTTACTCCTGGTGTTCAATGTAGGCGCTTGAACCACTTCCGATGCCAGGCTATTCCAGACCTTGGGCGCTCGGACAGTAAAGAAATTCTTCCTTATGTCCAGCCTGAAACGGTCTTGCAGTAGTTTATGACCATTCAACCTCGTCATCCCTTGGGGCGCTCTGGTGAACAACCGTTCCCCCAGATACTGGTGGTCATCCTTGATAAACTTATAGGTGGCCATCAGATCACCCCTGCATTAGAAAATACAATATCTGCCTGCAGGATGTTTCAAAAGCTCTACACAAACCATAAACTATGTCCTCATGACCTTGAATTACAATAAAACATATTACAGGATCAAATTGCCTAGTATCGGCTGCTATTTATGCATATGGTCTGTTTTTAGTACTGGCTGTTGCACATGGCGTGTAGAAAACTGTAGATTTCAACAGACTTCCTCAAATCTAGTCACCCCCTACTGCTCTCCAAGAGCACAAAAAAAACCCCCAAAGAACACAGTACAAATATTTCAGCTTTGGTGCCCGGGTCTTGGAATATTACCATGGTGGTACGAATATGATAGGTGGTCCTGGATCAGAGCTTTTTTTTTTTACACTCATTTCCCATTCTGCATTCTTGAACTTTCGGACTGCACACGATGGATTCCTCCATCTGAGCATATGCAAGATCAGTTTGATATTCTAACCAGTAAGCTGGCATGAAGCTCAGTCTGAATTAATTAAATGCTGTCATACTCAATGTTATGTTCAACCATTCTTTAAAATTCAAGGTCTACATGGATTACAAAGCTCAACAGAGAGGAAAATGCACTTTAGAAGAAATATAGATGTAGTAAAGCCTTATACTGTAAAATAAAACTCTTCAAAACTCTTCTCACCCATCTATTTGTGAGGCTACCTTCCTCTCTGCCAATTAGTGGTATTGCTCCTTGTCAAGTACAAAGAGTGCCCAGGGATTCTTTAGATACTATAAACCTCTTAATGCCCCTTCTGAGTAGCTGCTCTGCAAGGTAGCCCAGGCAGCTTGGGGCAAGGAGCCAACTGCAGCACAGCTTCTGGCCTTAGTATGACTGAGCATGGGGGGATTTCCAAGGCAGTGCACAAAGACAGTCCCTGAAGATAGTCAGACATGCTATAGAGGTTCATGGGCCCGTGCAGACCCTGCCAGCCCTTCCTGATACCATCCTTTTCACGCCACACCTCTGCCCCCCAGAGAACACAGATCTGGTAACTTCATTAACCAGAGTTTTCCCATGAATGTGCTCCTGCCTGCATTCTTTGGCAGCAGCAGCCACACATTGGATCCAAGTGAACAAGCAAGACGGTCCTTTACCATTCCTTATGAATGCAACAAACTGCTTTACGGTTTGGTCCAAGTGAACTCCATGATATACCACAGGTCTGAAATTACGGTGCTCAAAGGAGCGGACAAGGCGAACAGTAATGGTTGCAGTTTCTGATGACATGTGAATTAACTGCCAAAAACCTAAAAGACATTAAAGAGATAAAGCATTGAGTTGCACCCTTGTACAGATACAAGGAGAGGAACTGTGATGCAGGTGTGTTAGTATTCCACTCCCAAAGGCTTAAACTCTTACAAGCTTTTAAATAGCATTGTGCCTTCACTTCAGCCCTGATTCTGCACCATCTTTATCAACACAGGCAAGGCCAAAGCCCCTTGACTTAAAAAGAGTTGCTCAGGATACTATGGATAAAATTTGACTCTGTAGAAAAAATGGCCCATGCCTGTACCTGATCAACGTATAGATCTTCTACCGAATTTGGAGACAGCTTCATACACAAATCAGCCACAGCATCCTGCCCTATTTTCAGATAACAGAAATTGCACACACATATTTTAATCCTTGCAATGTATGCTTTACTTTTTATTTTCAGTTCAAGTCCCTGAAGACTCTGTCTTCTCAAATCAGGGTCTGGACACTCTAAAGGCTAGCATTTAAAAACACAAATAACATTAATTTATACTGCATTATACTGCATAGAAAAAATGCCTGCACTACTACCCAACGTTCCCCTTTACCCCACAGTGCATAACACATTGAAATCAAGTCCAACAAGATCAGTGAGGGGGATACTTTATCATTTTTGAAGCAATCAAGGGTCAAATTTCAAGAACAAATCCAGAGTAGCCCTACTGGGATCTAAGTAAGAGCAAAGTTTGAAATAGTGCTTTGCTCTTAGTTTAAGCGTGCTTTTCTGCCCCTGACACAGAGTCATAGAGTAATTTTGTTCAGCACGTTTAGAGTTTTCTTTTCTCTGTAGACCAGGGGTCAGCAACCTACACCCCACAGCACAACTCGGTCCAGCCCAGGCATGGGGCTTTGGCAACAATTGCTTTTCCGTGCTGCTGTGGAGAAAAGCACCAGCTGTGGACCTCACCCCAAGCTGCTGCATGGAGCAGTAGCTAGGCGCTAGCACCCATCTCTGCCTTGAATTGGGTCCCTCCAGCCTGCAGCCGAAAAAGGTTGAGGATCACTGGTCTAGGCAGAAAGAAGCAATCCCCTATCACTGACAACATCTATTTTCAGTGGTAAACGCTCCTCCCCTGCCCATTTCCTGTTTGGAAACTTTCACAACTGCTGCAGCAATGAGTGACCCCGGCTTTAGTGCCAGGCAGCTTGTCACACACTGAGAACTACATGTGATTTTCCTTGTGTCCAGTGGCAGCCATTTCAGTCCTCCTCTCCAGCTGTCCCGCTACCCGGCCCTCTCTCATGGCCGTTGGTGTCATTTGACTGTTCCTGGACATGTTTCTCATAGCCTTGTGTGTTTGCTGTTTCAACATGTTTAATGGTTTCTTGACTCTTAACTTCCTCTGATATATTCATGCAGATCCTCTCACCACAGCATCGGAGTCCCTCACAGTTTGAAGTGGATTTAACCTCATTACACCCCAGTGGAGCAGGTATTTTTCACATGGGGAGAACAAAGTCTCCCATGTGCAATGACATTAGCAGCAGGCCAGCCTTCCTTCCAGACAGGACTGTCAACGCCTTGCCTGGATCAATCTGGCAGCAGCGTTAAACAGCACCAGAGAGCTACAGGGCCATCCATCACTTCCTGCCACCTCCACAAACCTTCAACTTTGGTAATGGGGCGCACTCCCCCTTGCCCTGCTTTCTAAACCCCTCGGGCCAGGTGACACCGCTCCATGGACGACCCACGGGCCCTAGCTTTGACACCCCTTGAAGAGAGCCACAGCTTCTCTTGTCACTCGCCATGTGCGCGGGCTGCTGAGGTTTGGAAACACAGCAGGAAAACACGTGGGTTCACACATCTGAAACTCGCTCTCGTTTCGTGCGCAGAGCTGCAGCAGGAACATAACCGTGTCACGTCTCATCGACATTGGGCTATAACGCGCGCCTCACCCGTAGACACACACCCCCTCCCCCCCGACACGGACCCGCGTGAGGTACAACCCCACCCGCTCTTACCGCGGCCCCAGCACACTTCCGCGTCACGTTCCTTCCTGCAGGTCTCAACCTACGCGACTCCGCGATTGGTTGCGTGGCCCTCTAACCCCGCCCCCTCGCTGACGCCGCAGTGCAGCCTTCTTTGTGCCTGGCGTCTGGCGTTCCGCCCACTCCTCCTCTCCTTCCCTCCTCCTCCTGAACACCCTTCCCCCCGCTTGATTGGCTGCGGTCCCAACCTTGGCCAGCGTGATTGGCGGGAGGGCGGTGCGTCCCCCTGCCGAGCGCTGCGATTGGCCGGTGGGACCCTCAGGTGAGGGATGGAGGGGAGATATCGCGACCGCCTGCCTCGCGTGCGCTTCCGTCGGCGAGGAAAGAGCTGCTTGCGGCCGCTGCCATGTCTCAGGTGCGCGGCCTGGCGAGGTCCCTGAGGGGCTGGGGGCCAAAGCGTCGGGGGAGGGAGCGCGGGGCTGCCCCATTCGCCCCTCTCTCCCCACAGAGACATTGGTTCATTCCGCCTCCTCCGGCCTAGGGGGTGGGGGAGGGGAATGGGGGCGC